TACTACTACTACTACTACTACTACTACTACTACTACTACTACTACTACTACTACTACTGCTACTACTACTACTACTACTACTACTACTATCACTACTACTACTATTGCAATCAATTTTTTTATTGCTTATGCGGCACGTACTCTAATACATCGAATGGCTTTGTAGGCAAACAATTACTATTATTATTTTAAGAAACTTTTTTACGTCTTCCACCGGAATCCTGGGCTTAGCAAATATATTAAACTTCTTCTATGCATTCTTAATTGATTTTCAAAAATTCAACGTTAAAATATAAATAAGACAGCACTCGTGTTCTTTAAAATTGTACGTTTTTGCGAATAACTCCGATCGGTTATAGTCCCCTACGTTATTCTAAAATGTTTGCAGGCAAAGGCGTGCTATAATTAAGTATATAAGTTAAACTTCAAATGAAACGCATCCAGTATTTCATCTTTAGATGGATGTATGTAGGTTTCTTATTTATTCTATTTATCTGTTTTACTTCCTGGTTCTCTTGCACTATCCTTTTGAACATAGTTGCGCGAACTGATGCAATGACAATTGCATTTCATATCAAAAAATTGCTCAACATTTTCTACAATTGCAGTACAAATTGTGCGCATATACAGCCATCTGTCAGCCTAAAAAATATGTGGTAATGGTTAGTCGCCGTTTTCATCGTCGTCATTGTGTTCAAAGAGACTTTGCGTTTATTATAACCGGCATAGGAGTTGAGGAATATGCAGGATTTCGCTTTGCGTTTGTAACGCATTCAGAAATACGCTCTAAAGATCCCATAAAGTATATATGTTTTTGATCTGTCTTTCTGACCGTCTATCCGTCTGTCTGTCTGTCTGTCTGTCTGTTTGTTTGTTTGTCCATCACCTGTTGGTGAAAAGTTCAGTGAACGGAGTTCAGAATTGAGCGATAAAATCTAGTATATGGATATGTTAGTTAATGGTTATTGATAAATCTTGAATATGGATGCATTCTACTCAAAATTACGCCACCAATAGACAAAATTCGACTTGCGAAAACCGTTTATAAATAAATACTCTGGATCGGTTAGGTTAAAATCATGTGTCTGATGAAATACTCTGCAAACCAAAGGTATTAATTTGAGACGAAGGTTCACGCTATGACAAACATAGCTTTCATACTTGTTTTCCATTATTGTTTGCTCGATTCCTTTTTCTCCATTTCGTATACAAACATAAATGCTGTTCAACACTCACACCCATAAGTCTGCAAACTGATGATTTCAGTACATTGTGCGACAAATTCTAAAAGAAAATTTTTCTGATATATGTTTGTGAATAAATTCAACCAAAGAGGAAAAAAATCAGACGAAGAAGTACTTGCCAACGTTGTTAGTGAACTTTCCGTTGTTTTTCTTCTTGTTTTTTTTTTTTTTTTTTACGCTGCGAAAGCAGAAATTTAAATTTATATTAAAAATAATTTTTCTTTGAACTGACATGAAATACATTAAAGATTGTGAATGGATTTGTTTTCTTTTTTTTTCTTTTTGCATCTTTTTCGCTTCTCGTTTTTAGAGTAGTGCGTGATTTAAAAATGTTGCAATGATATGCAAATTCGTTTAATAGAAGCAAAAAGGATGTTTCATTAGTTGGATAAATATATTAAACATTAAACAGAAAAAGCTTTGCTTTCGATTGCTAACATTTTCTTTTGCGACTAACTTTTTAGCAACTGTGCATAGATATATAAAGGAGCCGATAGACGTTTTGATATATCTGTTTTATGACTCGTCGGTAAATGCGAACAATATAGGTTTTAATGATGAGAAAATGCTTTCTAAATTTCTATTTACTAAAAACGCATCGAAAATCTCAAGACGTCTAGTTAACTATTAAAACGAGAATCATTTTCACACCGAAATTGGGGATAACCGTGTGCCTAATTTTAGGTCAAATTTGTTATAAGTTGTATTTCTTGGCGATATTGAGTTGAAATTTTCCGCTATGCCTTAAAATTATTCTTCAAGGCTTATTATCTATCTACTAGGCTATCAAAACAACTTATGAGCATCGTTAGTGAGGAAATATATCCTTCGAACGATCATGTACTGATTGATCTTTAACAGGCAAAAAGGGGCAATTTTCGCGCGACACACATAATGAAATTGCCTCGTGTATGGCAACATCCAGGTCAAATAATGATACAAACTTGGCGAATTCAGTATGTCTAGGGCAGTTCGGTGGCAGTACATGGTGGTGGAGTTAAATAGACAAGCAAATGGAGTTAATTAATGTTTTAGCTAACTAAATAAATCAACTGAACTATGTTTGTTATTCAAAGAAAGACTATATTAACTATATTAAAGCATTTTTAATTGCAATTGCGAGCAACTGCAACAGTGTTTGTAGGCATAACTCTATAGACGCCTGAATTTCAAGAGTGTGAATTCACCTCGTTTTTAATATAAATTTGTTGCACAAAAAAAAGAAAAAAACCATGAAAAAAAATGGTAAATACCAGGGTGTTGTAAAAATTTAAAAAAATTACATAAATGTGATGGAATTATAAATATTTTATGTGGTCGTGGAAAAATAAATAATAATAGAAAGAAAAAAAAATGATGTAACTAAGTAATAAACAATATTTGCCGTTTTATTAATGTAATATATGTATCTAAAAATTCATACC